AACTTTGAGATTTTGTTCTATAATATTATGCCCAAGTTTAAACCAACAGCAAAAGACAAAGAAATAATAAACAAAGCTAATATTCGTGGCACAATTGAGGATGTTCTTCTTTTTTACCACTATAAAAAATACGCGATAGTTATTAATAAAGTTACTCGCTTATATGCAATTAGATTAATTAATTATGAAGATGATGGTGAAAACAGAGTGGAAATATTAGCAGTTAAAAGATTTCCTGACTTGATAGGGTTCTATCCAACAGAGAAAGAAGTCGAGAACAAAGTCAAAAGTATTAAATATAATAAGGATGGAGAAATAGACCAATGCAAATATAAATTTGAAACCCATGAGGAAGGTATGAAAAATAATGTATTAATAATTGGAAGAACAGGAAGTGGCAAATCTGCCTTGGCTAATGTAATCAGCAATGTTGATGTATTTGGAGAAAGTGATGGTTCAATTAGCAAAACTAAAAACTTTCAAATCAAAGAATTTAAATGGGAAGGAACAAAATATCGAGTGATTGATACTGTCGGATTCGGCGATACTAATTTATCAGACAAGGATGTCATTTTAAAATTGGCTGAGGCTATTCACTCAATGAAACGAGGGATAAAACAAATATTTGTGGTATTGGGAGGAAAATTTACCAATGAGGAAATAGAACTTTTTGAGTTAGCTGAGAAAATTTTCGGAAAAAAAATCATTAAAAACACAACCATTGTGAGAAATAGATTTGACAATTTCGATGACCCTAAAAAATGTGATAAAGATAAAAAAGATTTGATAAATGAAAATAAAAAAATTGCTGCTATAATTAGTCGCTGCAATGGAATCATATATGTGGACAATCCCCCATTAAGAGAAAATGAACAAAGACGAAAAATTGATCAAGAAGACAGAGAAAAATCAAGAAAAATATTATTGAATCATTTGAAAACTTCTTGTCAAGTAAGTTACAAAATGGATCATTGGGATGAGATATGTGTGGGAATTAATGATTACATGAATGCAAAAAAATGGAAAGAAGAAAATGAACCTTTATTAACTGATGACTTAATTAAAAGAGAAATAAATGAACTAAAAGAAGGGATTCTTGAAGAATTAAACGCTCAGTCAAATAAACCAGGACGTGAGATACACTGTCTAGCTAATGTGCAATCTCACATGATTAATGCAAATTTAAAGTTCAAAATCAAAAATTATTGCGTGATTATTTAATGTTTTTTCTTGATTTTTTATTTACTTTTTTTTTATATTCAGTTTTATTACTTTTAAATTAATTACTCTAAATCTGGTTTGAAAATAAACTTATATTTTTAAATCAATTTATAATTCTTTAATAAATGTTCACTTCACACATTTGATTAAGATTATAATAAACAGTTTTTTAAAAACGTATATAATAGCAATCAACAAATTTTATGTATTATGTTTTTGGAACATTCATGCAAAATTTCATATTTTAGTATTTTTTTGAGTGAAGATCACAAAGAAAAGGTTTCTTGCTTAAGTTTTCATTAATTGCTCAATCTAACATAACAATTTAATGTTTTTAGCAATCTATTTTTGTCACATGTTTTTGTTACTTTTATTTTAAACGATTTCCTTAGAACTTCGATATAATATTAAAATGAGTTAGTCAATATAATCAGTTTGTATACAACAGTATTCAAAAACACTTGGATTTCCAAAAACAATAGTTATCCGAACAGAGGTTGTGTTGAAATTTTATCAAAAGCTGGAAGGCCAAAAACTTTGATTAAAAATAATAATCGCGATAAAATTAAAGACTATTTTAAGGCTGAAACCGATTTAGGATTTGCACCAAGACTATTTTGCATGGTCTTGATATTTCTTCTTGAGCAATTAAA